TAACTTCGAGACTCTGCATTTCTATGGCCCATTTGATCATTCGTCCGGACGACTCCATGGTGGTAAGGGGCCGCTTGATTGGTTGGTCGGTATACACGACGACTGCATGTGCCAGAAAGTAGGGCTTCAATTTTTTAACAGCCATGAAGAGTGCAAGACCAAATTTCTCCACTAGGGGATACCTCAACTCGGCATTTTTCAGTACGTGACTGACAAAGTAGACCGGGAGTTGACAGCCGTCCCTTTCAGCAAGGAGCACAGCGCTTAACGCATGATCAGAGACGGCCAGGTACATGTAGAGATTTTCTTTGGGCAAAGGGCTGACCAGCCTCGGCAAGGAATGCAAGTGAACCTTTAATTTCTGGAAGGCGGCCTCAGCATCCGGCCCCCATTCAAACCTTGCCTTTTTCTTAATTGCCTGGAAAAAGTATAGGCATTTGTCGCCTGATCGGCTTAGGAATCTCCCCAAGGCCGCCAGACAACCTGTTAACTTCTGAACCTCTCGGACGGTACGAGGCGACTGCATGTCAATGACCGCCTGTACCTTCTCAGGGTTCGCCTCTATTCCTCTCTGGTTGATAAGGAATCCGAGAAATTTCCCAGACTCAACTCCAAATACACATTTCTTGGGATTGAGCATGACATGGTGTCGCCTGAGTGTGGCGAAAGTTTCTCGGAGGTCCGTCAGATGATCTTTCTGAAGTTTAGTCTTGACAATCATATCATCAATATATGCCTCGACGTTTCTCCCAATCTGATCAAAGAACACTGTGTTTATCATTCGTTGGAAGGTAGCCGGGGCATTCTTAAGACCAAACGGCATGACCGTGTAACAGTACAATCCCTGATCAGTGACGAAGGCCGTCTTCTCCTGATCTTTCTTCCATAAAGGAATTTGATGAAAACCAGAATAGGCGTCCATAAAACTCATCAAGGCATGTCCGGCTGTTGAGTCGACCAGGTTATCAATTTTAGGCAGAGGGTAACTGTCTTTGGGGCACGCCTTGTTCAAGTCTGTGTAGTCTACACACATTCGCCAGGTGCCATTCGGCTTTTTTACAAGCACCACATTTGCAACCCAATCTGGGAAGTAACATTGCCGAATGAACCCTGCATCAAGTAATTTTTTGACTTCGGCGGCTGCCGCCTGACCTCTTTCTTCACCATGGTTCCGCTTCTTTTGCCGTACCGGCTTCTTTTTTTTCGGATCCACAGCGAGTTTGTGTACTGCCAGATCAGGACTAATGCCTGGCATTTCATGGACTTCAAATGCAAAGATGTCCTTGTACTCTTTCAACAGGTTGTGAAAGTCGTCACCAAGGTTTCTCAGAGCAGTCGTCCCAACTTTGACTGTTCGGTCAGGACGGGAGTCGTCTAATATCAGGTCCGCATGCTCACCAGCCGGCTGAGGGCGGAACTCATCCGGCCGCTCCTCTGCCAATGATTGCTATTTTCTTGCTTTTCTTGCGGACTCTGTTTGGGACGCCTTTCTTTTTTTGTCGCCTGTTTCTTGAACAGGCACGCTCTCCTTGACATTGTCAAGGCCTGTTTTTTCTCCACTTGACCCAGTGGCCATAACAGTGGGCTTGACATCCGAGAGATAGCACTCTCGGGCCATCCTCTGATCTCCCCTTAGGGAGCCGACTGTTCCATTATCCCTTTCAAACTTAAGCAGCATAAGTGACGGGATTATAACAGCCTTGGAATTATTCAGGGTTGGTCGACCCAGAATCATGTTGTAGGCCGAGAGTTCCTCTACCACTAGGAACCGGACTACCATGTGTCGTCCTTCCCCTTTTTCGCCCAGGCGAATGGGTAGATCTACTCGTCCCAGTGGGTGGACGACTCCTCCTCCAAACCCTATTAAAGGGTGGGAGGCCGGATGTATGCAGTCCGTCTGATATTTCAGTTTTGACAGACATTTGCTGCTGATGAGATCTGAGGAGCTCCCGGTATCTATGAGGATTCGGCCAACTCTCTGGTTGGCCACTTTACATTCAATAACGAGAGGGTCGTCATGCGGCCCCCTTATTCCTCCTAGATCCTCTTCAGTGATGACAATCTCAGGAAATGTATATTTGGACGGCCGTTCTTGGTGAACGGAATTTACATCTAACCGCCTTATATTATCTTTGTTGCCCCTAATAGTGGGGCCGCCTCCTGAGAAGCCGCCTGCAATGGTGTAGACGACTGCATCATCTGTATCGGAACTGTCGGCCTGTTGATTCTTTTTGGCCGACTGCTTTTTTGAGGAAGTGTTCCCCGTAGATTTCTTGACATAAGTGTCAAGATCACCTTGATCAGCCAAGCGGTCTAGGTACCGCATGAGACTGATGCAGTCATTGGTGTGATGACCAACGTCATCATGATAAGCACAGATTTTGTCTTGGTTCCGGTTGCTTGCAGAACCCTTCATGGGGAGCGGCTTCTCAATTGAGAGCCGTCCCTTTATTTCTTTTAGGATAAACTGGTTATCCTTGTTAAACACATACTTCGGGGAGTATGGTTTGAATTCTTTTTTCTTTTTCTGAGTCGGCTGTTTAGAGGAATCAGCCGCCCAGACCTCTTTTCTTTTCTCATCTTTGTTGGACGACTGTTTCTGTCGTCCCTCTCTTTTGTCGAACCTCTTCCCGTCCGACTGTTTCATCGTACACAGATCAGTCGCCTGTATATAGGCTTCTGCTTCAATCAAGGCCTCTTGAAGAGTCGCCACCCTTTTTCGAACTAAATCAAATTTGAAGGTAGACCCGTCTTTGAGACCTCTAAAAAAGTCAGTATAAGCTACCTCATCCGGTAACCCTTGAATCTGTATTCTCATCAGGTTGAACCGCCTGATGTAGGAACGAAGCCCCTCCTTCTCGCCCTGCTGAATTGTTCCCAAATCAAGGGTCGTTTTCTTCGCAGGGATGTTCATTGCGAAGTTGGAGGCAAATAAGTAAGCAAGCGTCCTGAAGCTGTTTACACAACCAGTCGACAGGTTGCCGAACCATTGCTGTGCAATTCCCTTGAGAGTCGCTGGGAAACACTTGCACCAAGTGGGATCATCCAACCCTTGAAGGTACATCAGGTTGGTGAATGCCATCAGATGGTCTTCTGGGTTAGTAGTGCCGTCATAGGCGCCTACTAGAACATTTTTTACTTTGGCCGGCTGAGCGGCTTCAGTAATTTCCTTGGAGAAGGCCGACGGCTGTTCACCAAGTCTAAGCAGCCGTAGCTGCCAGTCCATAGGTTGGACGTTTTTTGCTGCAGGTCCACCAAATGGAGGTGGCTGCATAAAATACTGTTGTTGCGGCACAAATGGTAAGTTTGGTACCGCCTGGGCACTATGAAAGCCGGACTGACGGGAGGTGCCGCCTGACTGACTCTCATGGTACGACTGAGTATGCCTCATCGAGGCATTTCGCAAACTGTCCTGAAAATTTGAAGTAGAAGTCGACTCTGATAATCGGTCACTCTTCTTCTGCTCTAGCAGGAGCCGAGCATCTGTGAACGTTTGCTTTGACCCGTCCGCCTGAATATGACGAACCGGTTTCCTATTTCCCGTAGGATAACGGAGTTTTGTAAAATCAAGAGCAGGTGGCTCCCGCTTCTTGGATTTAGGATGGGGAGTCGCCTCTCGCCCTTGAACTGGCTTCCTCTTCAGTGAAGTGGAAGGTTTCTTGGCCGACTGCTCTTTGACTGAAGCAGGCGGTTTTTTGTTGATCAACTCTTGAATCTCTCCCTTGAAGTCCCTCATGAAGGTCATGAGTTCGTTCCTTGTGATGGGAGCAGACCCGTCAGTCGGCTGTTGCCGAGCAAGCGGTGCGCCTGCTGGCTCGCTTCCTGTTTGAAGATGCTCCCGTTCCCTCCTTTCGGTATGGCGGGTACGTCGGGCCCTTAGGGTCCCGTCTGGAGCTGTATGAGTTTCAACTTCAAATTCACTTTCGGTATCATGGTCCGACTGAACTTGAGGGTCGTCTAGGGGACGCCTCTCTTCTGGAGTCGGTACAGACTTGGATGCCATCTCTGAAGTACTCTCCCCACAGACGGCGCCAAATGTTTCGGGATTTTCTGATGTCCTGCGGGAGAGTTACAATTCCGAGACTGGAACCGGACGCCTGTACCTGCAAAATAACGGAGACTCCTGAGAGCTCCGCCTCCAACGGTCAAGTTAGTACCTGACTAAGGAGTAATCAATACAGAAATTAAAGTAATGAGATCTCTCTAGGTGAGAGTGCTTAGTGTTGGTAATCTGCGTCGTTAGCGAGATTAGCCGGTTGTTGATGTTCCGTAATAACTCTGTTCTTCTCTGCTTGATTACTTTTTCCCTCCGTAATTAATGAGGATTAATTGAGTATTTATAGCCTTGAGAAGCGTGCCACTCTCTAGGTTTAAGGTAAACCTAGGGCTGATCGGGCCTCTAGACTGAGTTGGGCCTTGATGGCCGGTTTTCCCATTTGGCATGGGTGGACACGTGGCGCGTCTAAATTGGTCCGTAGAGGACGTATCTGTGATTGACACGTGGCAGGCTCCTGTTGGCCTTCGTGAAGGACACGTGGCGGAACCTGGTTGGTCCACTTGTCAGACGGTGATTGGTGGATAAAAATCCCCTAATCAATAGCTGCTGTAATCTTTAGGCGGGTGCAAATGCAATGTCTTGTCTCTCTCTTTTTGTCCGCGGATTTTATTATACCAAGTAGACATTACTACATTAGACAAGTGTGACTCGTTTTTGGATGTGTTTGTGTTAGCGGAAACAAGATAATGAGAGTGTACCATAATTTTCTCTCTCTCTCTACTTGTAATGTGCAACTGTGCATGGTACATTATCAGGTTAGTCCCGTGCAATACACGTTTTGATAATAAAAAAATTTACTAGGAGGTGCTTGGTTCGCGGAATCTATAATTAATTAATTAATCTTATAAAAGCCCCAAGCACCCCTACTGTAGCAATTTTACTGTTCCTTATGAACAGGAGATTGACGGTTTTGCCCTCCCCTGCCCTTAGCACCCTTCCTTGATTGACAGGGGTAGTTCGGTCATTTCGCTTTGACAATCCAGTTGTTCTGAATGAGCTGACGCGTGGCATTCATCTTTCTGATTAGCTATGTCTTCTTTCTTTTTCCATTGTTCCTTCCTGAATTCTACTTTCTTTTTCCATTTCGTTTATGTGTTTCCTTCTTAATTATTTCCTTCTTGATTATTTCCTTTTTAGTTGTTTCCTTGTTAATTATTTCCATTTTGAACGAGTGTTGCAGCGGTTAGTTCGATGGCGAGGTTTCATGGAGCTGCTGTAATTGCCATGGCTATTTTTGTCCTTTTGCTTAGGAGGGAAGCGTAACTCATTCTCTCTCTTTCGTTCCTGGTTAGCTGGGTCTTGTTTGCTTTTTTTTTTTTTTTTTGTTGATTTTAATTTTTTCCCTTCTTTTTAAATAGTTCGTTTCTTATTTTGTAAGGGTGTTGCATTAATCGTGTTTTGTAAGGGTGTTGCATTAATCGTGTTTTGGCTTCTTTTTTTTTTTTTTTTTTTTTTTTGGCAGCTGTTAATTTCATGGAGTGGTTTGATGGAGCTTCTTTGGTCGCAGCTCTGGATCTGGTTGTTGAGCAGTGTGAGGTGTGCTTAATTATTGTTTCTCATTTTATTGCGAATTAGTTTAATTATTGTTGAGTTTGATGATAGAAAATTGTGAATGAGCAGCCCATTGTTATGTTTTAGCTTAGCTAATAAAATTGTGAACAGAAAATTATATTCTTGTAGATTTCTCCTATAAATTAATTAAGGATTAACTTAGCCTCAATGAGTATGTTGGTGAAAATTTGGCTTTGGAAATTACTGTGGGAAAGTAACTTGGCTTTGGAGACTACACTGTTCAAATACAATATTTATACAGAATTGTCTGGTAGTGTATGTGTATATAAAATTTGATAGAGGGGTTTTACTGTGTATTTATTGTCCTTTTTTTTTCCGAGCTCTTTCCCAAATTAAAGTCAAGAAGAACCGCAATTCCCAAATTGCAGCCAAAGTTTTAAGAATTCCCATTCTACCGTCCACGTAAGCACTGGTTAAAAAACCGGTTTTTTTTTTTTTTTCCGGTCCAGGGTAAACCGCTACTTGAAGTAGCGGTTTCTTTGCAATAAACCGCCACTTCAAGTAGCGGTTTCTTAGTTTAAAACCGCTACTTGAAGTAGCGGTTTGTTTACAAAAAACCGCTATTTAATGTAGCGGTTTATTTTGGAAAACCGCTACTTCAAGTAGCGGTTTACTTTGAAAAACCGCTACTTGAAGTAGCGGTTTACCCTGGACTGGTTTTTTTTTCAAACTTGCATAATCACTCAAAAAAAAACCTGCAAGTTGTGTACCTGTAAAACATGAGATATATAGCATATTTTCAACACAACCACCATAAATAACAAGTTTATGAAGATCTAAGGAAGTCGAAATTGCAAAGTCGAATATTTTTCAATTGATTAAATATAACAAAATCCAATTCTAAGCATTTACAAAAAAATTAGTTTAGTTCCAAATTATACACTTAGCTCGGGCGTTGCTTCTTCCCATGAGGTGACGATGAAGATGATGCAGCTGTCTCCTCTGGAATGTCATCCAGGCCAACTCCAACCCCAGACGTAGTGTTGCTACGCCGTCGGTTTCTCTGATACTGGCGATGCACTAGTGGAGGAGATGTCATGATAGTATGCTGAGAAGGAGTCGGTGGACGGAAGGCACGTGCTGAATGGCCTCCACGATGAGGTGGTGGTCTGATCGGCATAGTGTGCACAGTAGAAGATGAAGACGTGGACGGTCGAGGCTGCTGAATAAGGTGTGACTGCCCCACCCTAGACAAGGTTTGGCCACAAAATGATGTAAAACCCTGCATCGTCTGTATGGCAAATGGTATAGCCGTCTCTGGTGGCAAGTGGGAGATGGTCTCAGTAGCTCCCGATAGCTGGACGTGCAAATCAGCAAATGCATGTGCCTACATTTAAGTGTAGTTTTAATGTTAGTAAAATGAAATCAAAAACGTAAGAACTAGATTGAAATGAAGTGAAGTTCATACAAGCAGGAGGTCCGAGGTAGCTGACTGGTAATGACTCGGGGGGCGCTCCTGCGAAGGTGGAGTAATGACCAGTCTCGTGATGCGACGGTACCAAGCCATGTACTCTGTCATGGCCGGGGAAGAAGTCCCAGTGAACGGGTATCCCTGGACGACTAATGCCTCTCGTCGACTCCACTCGTGTACATGGTCCGAATGCCGAATCTCCCAATTACGCTGTCCCCTTCGATCCTTCCTGTGTAGAGCAACGTCCGTGTCTACATCCTGTGGGATCGGCTGGTCTAACCCGAACTGACGAAGGACTCGGTCTGGGAGGTGGAACTCAACGACGTCAAAGCATATCAGAGGTGCCCGTGAACGCCAAATGTGCATGTCTGAGCGACAAATCTCCGGAAGTCGATCCATCACCGCCTCAGTATATGGCTGCCAAATCATCTAATTCCCAAAACAAGTATGTCAACATGTATATGACTAACATAATGGAAGAAATACAATGCACAAAAAAAAAGAAACACCGATTGTACCTGGTCCTCGCGCTGATGGTCAAACGCATCTCTGTAGTATGGTAGTCCAGAAGCAGTATGCGCACACGATAGATGGACACGTAACCACCTGTAAAGACATGTTAATAATAATTCTTGAAAGATAGAATTGTAAGAACATGAACTTGAAGCAAACATTGTACCTGCACGCCAAAGGGTCAACACCTCGCTGATGCTGAGTCCCCAAAATGTCATCCTCATCCTCAGCCTCAGGGTCCTCCTGTGGCGGATCTCGAGGCCTCCTAATGTATGGTCGGCCAATAGTAATATGCTCCCACGACCACAACTGTAGTAGGATGAGCGGGCCTCCAATCTGTCTTGAATCTCGCTGACATCCTCGACATAGCTGCCGATACAAAAAACCAAGAGTCGCACTCCCCCAGCTGTAGGTCGAAGCTGTCCCCCAGTCTCGAAGGAACGACAAGTAGTAGAGTGACACAACATCGCCACTCTTGTCGGCGAACAGAATAGATCCCATGAGAGTGAGAATGTAAGCACGGCTATGGCGCTGAACTGTCAAGTCATCAGCTCCCTCTGGCATCTGTGAGAAGTGACGTCTGAGCCACGTCAACTTCAAAGTAGATCCCTCCAGAAACGGCTTACCGTTATCATCATGGCCAGGTCGAACTCCCAGCAACTCCTCAACTAGGTCATGCCATCCCTCAAATGGAGGTCCAATGACAGGAGGGCCGTGCACTCTCAGACCTAACAGGACGGAGACATCCTGTAAAGTAATGGTGGCCTCACCTACCACTAGGTGGAAAGTATGTGTCTCCTGCCTCCACCTCTCAACCAACGCCGTAAGAAGAGATCGATCAAGCAAAAACCCTCCTCCCAAAATCCTATGTACACCGTAAAACCCAGCAAGCCTAACGTACTCTAGTACTCCGCCATCTACCCTCCACTCACGTCCCACGCTGACCATATGCTCCCTAACTGAGAGAACTCTATCAGCTACGCCACTCCAAACATCGTGGCTCCTATGGGAAGTCTGCAAGCGTAGAACAGATGGATCAACTGGGCCTGGACGAATCACCGGCTCCATGGGACCTACACGATAACAAAAAATTGAATTAATGAACAATTGCATTGCAACAGAAGAACTCTGAGTCACAGCAATCCACATAGCTCTAACAGCGTTGTCGTCATTTAACGGAATTGCAACATATGCCCCGGCCATAGGATAACGCATAACCACCTTCAACTCCACACCTCTAGGATCAACACTCAATTCTTCATATAGCTTGTTCAGAACTTGTGAATATGTCATCGCAGAATGTACAAACACAAATTTTTGATTCCCACCCCTATACGTTATATCGCTATCTTTGTGGACAATTTCTCCACCCCAATAGCAATATAGAGGGTAGTTCGGAACCTCCATGTTTCATTCTAGAAAAGACCATTATTAATCAAAGATATTAGATTGCAAAAATTCATTAACAGTGTGGCAATGTCCTAACATCAAGCAAGCAAACTACACAATTATAGCAACCTAAACTGAGCTATGAAGGTCTTAATACCTCTTGAAGCTCAACATGGGCATAAGTCATGACTACATGTACTTTGAGCTCATGTACTTTGTGTATAGAAGCTCTATTTTCACTTTCAAAATCAGCAATTATAGCAACCTAAACTGAGTAATGTGATCGAAACCATTAATAATTCTACAAGGGTTATATGTAAGGTAAGTAAATCAACAACAACAACCAAAACCAACCACAAACATACATACAATTCTGAAACTCAATAACAACAACAATAAACAAGAACACTAACAACAACAACACAACCAAAACCGAAACTCAATAACAACAATAATAAACAAGAACACTAACAACAACAACACAACCAAAACCAACAACAACAACACATACATACAATTCTGAAACTCAATAACAACAACAAACTCAATAACAACAACAAACCCAATAACTGAATACAAAAAATAATTAGGGCACTTACCACAAACAAGAAGATCAGCACGTTTCTTCTGAAATTAGCGAAGCCGACCACTAAAGTCGAACCCTCGGCGTCAACAGCGGCGGCCTTCGTTGCTGAGGAATGCTCCGGCGGCGTCGGTGGATTCCTTGGCTGCGCCGGCTTCCGTTGAAGGAGGTGTGATTTTGGTGGAAGGCGTGGATGGGATTTTGGTGAGAAGACGAAAATGAAAGAGGAAAGTGAAATCGGGAAATTATACCTGCTAGAAAACCGCTACTTGAAGTAGCGGTTTATTAAACAAAAACCGCTACTTGAAGTAGCGGTTTATTAAAAAGAAACCGCTACCTGAAGTAGCGGTTTATTAGTAAAAACCGCTACTTCAGGTAGCGGTTTTGCTGTAGACCGGATTTAAAATTTCTTCCCCCTGAACCGGTGACGTGGACGGTACTTTGGGAATTCTTAAAACTTTGGCTGCAATTTGGGAATTGCGGTTCTTCTTGACTTTAATTTGGGAAAGAGCTCTTTTTTTCCCTGGGGAGATTAAAAAATGGTTGCTTTTTTGGTGAATAATAGAAATATATGTTCTTTTAAGTTGCATGTGTATTATTTAATAGTTTTTAGAGGATAGATATTTGTTTATGATGTACTGGATCAATTTATATGGTGTAGCTTTTTTGGCTAATAAAATATAATATATATGTCCTTTGCTTTATTCTTTGCTTTCAACTTCTGTATTTATATGTACTGCATATTTGGTTTGCTTTCATTTCTTTTTACATTTCTGGCTTGCTCCTTCTTTATCCTCTGACAAAAAAAAGGTTGGTTTGTGAAACTTTGTTGGGGTAATTGTTTAGCTTGTAATTATCTCATAAAAATGTAATGTGATTGCTGAAATTCCACATGGATCTCAATTATACAGACAACATTGGATAATGACTTAATGAATTTTGAACTTTTACGCTATCACCTGGACATACATTGAACTACAATTACTTACTTTACAATTATGAACTTCATACTAATAATCTAAAACGAGTTATTTAAAGTTAATATAGATTTCTGGAACCTTGAATTTGGTTAGATAGCTTATTTTTTTTTTATTTTCTGTGTTTTCTGTTCTCTCCTTTTTCTTTTTAATTTTTTTTTTGAAAAATTAATTGAAAAAAAAAAACATAATTATTGTAGGTCTGTGCAGTTGGAGCGGTGTTGTTAAAATTGCTTTCTGCTATTGTTGGTAAGTTTGTTGAGATCTTTTAAATTAAGATTTTACAAGGTCACTTAGTTTTCTTAGATGTGTTGACTTTGGCTGTAATTTGATTGTAGTTTTGATTTAGTGGATCTGTATGTTTCTTTAATTTTAATTTTTGCCGGTTACAGGTTATGGCTATTCAGTCAAGAAAAATTGCCATTCCATTTCAACCTCTTTTAGGTCAATTGGTTGACTGTTTAAATTTTCCTAAACCAATTTATGGTTTTATAGATAAGGATAGGAACAATGCCTGCGTTTGTATTAGAACTGAATGTGGCAAGTCTGAATTTGTATTTTTCGGTGGGGAGGCTAATACAGTTCAGGAGTCGCAAGAAAGGGCTGCTCAAAAAGCTGTGCAAAAATTGATGAGCCAGTTTGGGGTGCAGGTGAGTGATTTTACATCCAATAGAGCAAGGATGTATCAGCTATGCAGTAAGCTTTTTAAGCATAAGGTTGTTGAGTTATGTCGTGAGAAAGGAATAGAGATGCCTACCGCTCAAAAGAATTTGGGAAAAAAACCATCTAATGAAGTTATCCATGTGACAATTGATTTTGTGAGCTTTTTAGGAGCTGTTGTTACAAGGACTGGAGCAGAGGTGAGTCCATTAGAGACTATTTGGGTTGAAGATTTGGGTTTTGTGTCTTGGCTAACAGTGTCTTGCCCACATAATGGAGCTGAAATGGAATGCATATATAGTGATCCTTGTCCTGAGGTAACTGGTGTAAAGCAAAAGGCTGCTAAAAGAGCTATTCATTACCTGGTGACTAAGTATAGCTTAGAGATCATTGATGCTAATTATGGTGCAGCTTTGGAGAAGAGTGTTGCTTGTAATGCTTTTAAGAGTAGGTTTTACCAGTTAAAGGAACACTTGGCTGCCAGAGAAGAAAACTTTGCTGGTGATGAATGCTTGACTCCTACTTCTGAAAGGTTTCAGATACCTAAGGTTGGTGTGCCTCCACCAGCTCCAATGAAAAGACGCTCTGCTACGCCATTAGATGCTGCATCTTCTTCTACCATTAGAGTTTCCGAGCCTTTGGTTTCTGGCATACCTGAACTAGAGACTGTTTGGAAGCGCACAAAGTTTGCTTATGTTATTTGGAGTCTTAGTTTAGTATTTTGGGTAGCAAGATGTTTGCCTGATTAAAGGTGTTTAGGTTTAGTATTCACATATGCCTCATATTATCTAGATTTCTATCTTTCCTTTTGTTTTAAAGCTTAAGTCTAAGAGTAGTGATTGTTGAAATATTTCATTAGAAAATAGACTTGTATGCTGTAACTGAAATCTAATGTAATGTGTATTTTGAGTAATTAATGGATGCACTTTTGATTTGCATGTTGGTTCAAGAATATTTTATAATTTTACTGTTTATTGCATGGCTTCTTAATTTAATAATACTCTTTTGTGTTTGATGTTATGTATGTTCAGCACATTACATTTGCCTAATAGCCTGAGTTTATGCACCAGACATTTGTCATGTAGGCATCCTCTATAGTTTTAAAATCTATCTGAAGTTGTCGTATAAGGTTTTTGTTTTTGTGTAATGCTTCTGTTATTGTTTTTTGTGTTTGTTAAGAATGAAGAAATAAGGATTGACTAAATTATAATCTGAAAGTTTTAAAATGTCAGATAGTTCATTCAGTCCATAAAGTTTTGTTAATGTAGGAAAGGAATTGGCGCAGCTTGCTCTTGCGGCTGGGTTTTCAGATGCCAAATTTTATGAGATTGCTGACGGACTAATTGGAAATCTGGTGGTAATTCAATAAGTGGGTCCTTGTCTATTACATCATAAATACGGCATTCTGATAAATTGGTGAATTATTAGCTTTTGTTTTACCTTGTCATCTTTTTATCTGTTTAATTACATACTGGATAATTTGTAAGTGTAATGAGTCTAATTATTGGTTCATATGACTTCTTTGCTAACCTAGCATATATTTGCATTTAGCATCTTTTGTCTTGGGGATTGAAGAGGGATTTTTTAGAGTAGATGAAGAGAACCTTTGAACATCCATAGAGTAAATAAATTGGTTAAACTTCCTCCGTTATTTTTAGATGCATCACTTTAAAAATGAAGGACTACTAGGCAATTTTTGGAGTACAGAGAGATAGAGAGAAAAAATAAAGAGGGCTCATGTAATGTAGGAGAGATAGAGAGAATTTATTAATTAAAAGGAAATTGATGCAAATATTGTTAGTGATATGCAGATACCATTAATAAGATACAAAGCAATGTAGTGGATTAGTAGAATTCATTTTGTTTTGTTTTGTGGCATTGAAAATAGGGGGGTATTGCAATTAGAACCTGAGATCAGTGTCAAATTCAGGAATTACTGTACAACAATTAGAACCTGAGATCAGTGTCAAATTCACAGAATTTTAAGCAGAACAAATATTGAACAGGTAAACATCTACTTAGAATCATTGAGAGAAATGTGCAGGTTAATGTATCAAGTTGATAGAATTTTTGTGGATTTAATTTGCAGAGCCTCTCATTTTACAGACCAAAAAACATCTTCTGAACTGCAGCTTCGGAGAATTAAATATGTTTTCTTTTTACAGTAAATGACATAAACAGGAATCATCAATATCCTGTGCGCATTGTTGAGATAGCTTGATCTGCACCAAAGTAATATGGGTATGTCTGAAAATTGACATGATGTTTAGGAAGGATTTTTTTATATATGCTCATTGCTATACTCATTTATGATGTTTGTTTAATGTTTAAAATACTGAGTTATTGCTTTTAATATGTATATGATAGCTGATGCACCTGTTAACTTTATGAGACCATCAAGTAAAGGGCGGAAATCAAAGCGAATAAGTGATTTGATATCAAATCATAATTCTTCTAGGTAAAGTACATGACTTATAATAATGGATTTTATTTTTTGTGAAGCAAATTCATAAACTCTTTATGCTTTGCACAGTCAAGCAGAACAGTCAAAGTCCAAAAAGGCAAAATCAAGACCTTCAAAATATACTATACTTGAAAGTGGGTATTTTTCCTTGGTTTAGGTTTATAAAGTGAATATATATGTAGTGCTATTTAATCGGACCTGGTGTAATTTTCTCTTCGTACCTCTACAGAAAGACCCGTGTCTCTTAGAGTTACACCATCAAATGCACAGAGTTCAAAGCAGCTAAGGGATGCTGCTAAAAGTAAGCCTTGGTAGAGATTTCAGTTAATAGAGTTAACACTTATATGCTGTTGCACAATACAATTATCTTAGATATCCTTTTATACTATTACAGAAACCCCTGCAGCCACTATAGGAAGACCATTACCTACGCAACCCTTAGAATTATCTCCGCCTACCTACTGTGTTGAGTGTGGGGCTAAAAAGTTTGCGTTTGAAACCCTGCATTTCTGCTGTGGCAATGGTGATATTAAAATAGTTGCGAATGAATATCCCCCTGAATTAGTGAGACTTTTTACTTCAAGAGATGAAGATGCTGTGCATTTTAGAAAGTATGCTCGATTATACAATAACCTATTTGCCTTTAGTTCAATTGGAGGTAAAACTGACAGAGAAACATACAAAGGTATATATGTCTTTAAATTACATGGCCAAATATATCATTCTGTACCAGACTTAATACCAGATGAGAATGGTCCAAAGTATCTACAACTTTATTTCTATGATGGCCAAAATGAATTGAAACACAGAACAAATTGCTTTCCTGAATTAAGACAGGATGTTATTGACAAATTAATGCAAATAACTAAAGATAATCCATATGCAAGATTTTTCAGATCTTTGAGAGAAGTAAATGTCGATGAAAGTACTAACATTATAATAAATTCAAACACTGTGCCAGATCAAAGGGTGTATAATGCTCCCACTTCAGATGAAGTTGCAGTTATCTGGCCTGATAGTGTTTCATCAAGTCAAAGTTCATGGCCACATGTTCTTGTGACAGCAAAATCTGCGAAATCCCATCGGATTGCCCATTTTTATGGGTGATATGACCCTTTACAGTATCTCCTGCTATTTCCAAGAGGTGAATGTGGTTGGCATCAGGGTCTAAAAAAAAACTTCTTATGGTGGAGATAGGCAAGTGGCAGCAGAACCTGATCCTATTCAATCATGTGCAGTGAACACTCCAGCAGATTTTCTAGATGCAGAAGCTGCTCGTAAGTTCCTATCAAAACTATGGGATTTTTTGGTTAATTGCTTCTTCGCCTATGTTCCCTTAAAATATGCTTAGTTTGAATTTTTTTTTGGATTTTAATGTATATAGGAGCTTCCGGAAGACATACGAAAGCTGATAAGAATATCTCTGCAAGGGAGTACTATGCTTATAAGCTTCAAATTAGACCAGGAAACATGCTCTTAAGAGCAGGCTGTGCATTTCTGCAATACATCACAGATATGTATATCAAGGTTGAAAATACAAGGTTAGATTTTTTCCGGCAAAATCAAGATACAATAAGAGCAGATCTTTATAAGGGTATTCTTGACACAGTAGAGAGTGGACAGACAAGTGCAGCTAATGTTGGTCATAAATTCATTTTACCACCATCATTTATAGGAGGCCCTCGTGATATGAAAAGGAGATATCTGAATGCAATGGCTCTTGTGCAGAAATACGGGAAGCCAGATCTCTTCGTCACTATGACATGCAATGCAAATTGGCCAGAGATAAAAGCCGAACTAGAGCCCGGTGAGACTGCCCAAGACCGACCTGATTTAGTTGCTCGTATATTTCGGGCGAAGTTGATTGCTCTGAAAAAAAAAATCAAGAAAGACATGGTATTTGGAAAAGTGGCAGCGATGATATATGTTGTAGAATTTCAGAAAAGAGGATTGCCGCATGCTCATTTCTTGTTGATTCTAGAACATCAGCATAAGATGAAATCTCTTGCTGATTATGATAGGTATGTTTGTGCAGAGATACCTCCTGTTACTCAGCCTGAACTGCGTAAGATTGTATTAAGGCATATGATGCATGGACCATGTGGCTAATTAAATCCAGAGTGCCCTTGTATGAGAAAGAAGGATAATGTCTTTTCTTGTAAAAATGGATATCCAAAACAATTCACCGCACAAACAACGACAAATAAAGATGGTTATCCTTGTTATAAGAGAAGTGATATTGGAGAACAAGTGAAGGTCAGAAATGCCGAGTTAGATAATCGATGGGTTGTACCTTATAACCCTTATCTCGCAGAACTCTTTGATTGTCATTTAAATGTAGAGGTTTGTTCGACTAAAAAAGCAGTGAAATATTTATATAAATATGTTTACAAAGGACATGATCGAGTGCCCTTCAATATTTCGGCTGAAGATAGAAATTCTAGAGATGAAATTGCTCAGTTTCAGTCAAGAAGGTGGGTGTCACCGTGTGAAGCGGCTTGGAGAATTTTCGGGTTTGATTTATTTGAGATGCATCCACTAGTCTTACCTCTGTCTGTTCATATTCCAGACATGAATACTGTCTGTGTACGCCCGTATGAACGTCTTGATATAGGTATTGCAAGTGGTGTTTATGCAAAGACTCAATTAACAGAGTTCTTTCGTATGAATGCAGCTACTGATAATGGTCTTGGTTACTTATATGGAGAATTTCCAGAACACTATAATTGGGATGCTTCAGCAAAAACATGGTCCAACCGACAAAATAAAAACTCGATGGTTGGCCGTTTAGCTTTTGTGGCTCCTTCTGAAGGTGAACGCTTTTACCTTCGACTACTATTACTGAATGTCAGGAGTCCAAAATCTTTTACAGACTTACGCACAGTTCAAGGTTATGTATGTGCAACTTTCAAGGAAGCATGTCTTAAAGCTGGCATTTTGGAAGAAGATGATGCTGCAAGCATTTGTTTGGCTGAAGCAACTGAAATTCAGCTCCCCGGGGCTCTGCGCCGATTGTTTGCAACTGTTCTTATATTTTGCCAGCCGAGTAATCCGGCAGAACTATGGCGCAAATATTATCCTGCATTGTCAGAAGATTTTGCACAAAAGTACTCTGGTGCAGAAAGCAAAATTAAGAAACTAACTGTAAGATCAGTGGAACAACATTTAGAGGCTATGGGGAAGTCATTATGTGGCTGTGTTCTAGCTGTTTTAATGGATAACAATGATACTGAAATTGATAGAACAAAAGACATTCAAGATGCACTAGATGCTCCGATTCCTCAGGCTTGTATAGACAGCCGAAGCTTGCTAAATCCAGCACAAAAGGAAATATTTACATGTATCATGCAGCATATAGTGGAAGGAAAACCAGGGGCATTTTTTGTAGATGGTCCTGGTGGGACTGGCAAAACATTCTTATACAATGCACTTTATGCTGAGATCCGCCTTATGAATAAGATTGTTTTGCCAACAGCTACATCAGGAATAGCCGCAGCAAATATCCCGTTTGGTAGAACGGCACACTCAAGATTCAAGATTCCAATGGATAGTGATGCTTCATTAGCCTGCAGCGTTTCTAAGCAAAGTAGTTTAGCAACATTAATAAAAGAAATGGCTCTTATAATATGGGATGAAGCATCAATGGCAAACAAACAAAATCTAGAGTCTTCTAGACCTTCTGTTACAAGACATATGCAATAATGATGTAATATTTGGTGGAAAGGTCATTGTCTTCGGTGGAGATTTCCGACAAGTGTTGCCTGTTGTCCCTAATAAGACTCAGAGAGAAGCTGTTGAAGCAAGTGTAGTGAGTTCTTATATATGGCAGCATTTAAGAAGATTCAGGTTAACTGAGAACCTAAGAGCCAAGGAAGATCCTTCATTTTGTCAATTTTTGCTTGCACTAGGAAACGGTGAATTGCAAACTTTGGAAAGTGATTTTGTTGAGTTGCCTTCGCAAATAGTGCAGACTTTCCAGCCTGATGATGATCCAATAGTTGGATTACTTGAATCTTCTTTTCCGGAACTTGGTTCAGACACTTTAGATCCTCAATTTTTTTCTAAAAGGGTTGTTCTGACACCTATTAATGAGGATGTCGATAATATAAACTCTTTCATGATTGAAAGATTCCCGGGGGAAGCCATAACTTATACAAGCTATGACAGTATTCTAGATGATAGTAGCAGTGTATATCCTACAGAATTTCTAAATAAACTATGTCCGGGAGGAATGAGTCCTCACAATCTTGTGCTAAAAAAAAAACTGCCCATCAATATTGCTCAGAAACCTTTTTCCCTCTTCGGGTCTATGTAATGGAACACGCCTTATATGTAAAAGGTTTTTGCCCAATTTAATTGAGTGCGTGATTTCTGTCGGGCAGTATCAAGGGGAACATGTTTTTATACCCAGAATCAAGCTCAGGCCATCAAGTTCTCAGAAATATCCTTTCCAATTTCAGAGGAGTCAATTTCCCATCAAACTGAGCTTTGCAATGACCATTAACAAGTCACAGGGGCAGACTTTAGATCAAGTGTTGGTTTATCTTCCCCGTTCATGTTTTTCACATGGTCAATTGTATGTGGCTCTTTCACGGGCACGATCTGCCGATAAAGTGAAGGTTATATCAGTAGCTCCTTCTTTACAGCGTTCAAAGAACTCTGTTTAAATGTGGTATCTTATAATGTCCTAAAGTTAGCAGGAGTCATCTAACCAACTATGCATTAACCAAGAAAAGTGAGTTTATTTTTCATTATGCAACACTTTTTTTGACACCAATAATCAGGTTAACAGTCCAAAGCAGCTTAAATTAATAGCTTATCATTTTTACATTGCAGGAAAAAGCTCTTCAAGAGAAGGATGGGCCAACAACTTATTGATGAGCCAAGCCTGTAAAAGCTATGTGCCTAATGATAAACTTACTAAGGTGAATTGCAAAGCCTTTTATATGTATAGGATACAATTCAAGTTGGAAATATTCTTAAATTAAAGCTTGGTTTATTTTACATTGCAGGAAGCTTGTATTTAGGAAATGAGGAGATATTTGTTCAACTTTAGGATGTTAAGATGCTAAAAAAACTCTACATTTTGGGGCCAAAAATTATTCTTCTGCTTGGTTTTTAGACCTATGTGGTTACACATTAGCCCACTAAGGTAAATTGTATAACTTATGTTTTGAAGCATGGAAAATAAGTTAATATTAAAAGCTATTCAGTATTTTAAATTTTATGTACATTTTTTTAGCAGAATTCCTAAAGTTATGCTTTGCTTATGACAGTGTATAAAAGCAATTCCCCTAAAAATAGGAAGATTGTTCCAAAAGATTTTACTGAATTGTGGTTGTCATAATTTGAGATTTGTCACATAAAAAAATCTACCATTATTATATTGTTTATAAAGGGACTTACCTTTTCCAATGTTTGAAAACTAATTAAAAAGTACAATGAGCAGCCCAAATTTCTTTTCCAGAAGTATGGGCTCAACAGTATAAACAGTGACAAGGATTAAAAAAAACCAATGGCTATTCAGAACACTGTTACTCAAACCAAGCACAATTCCTGTGCTCTATTTTCTATTCTTATATTCTGTCCTAGGTAATATAAAGGGATTTGCTACTTGGCCTTTCGGTTTTTCCACACAACAAAGCAAACTTACCAGAAACTTAATTAACCATGGAAGGTATAATTCTCTCTTTTACAACATTCCTTGCATTTTAGTTTAATTTTACTTGTGCATATTTTTATTCCTATAGAAATTTTTTGTGAGTTACTTGATTAGTTAGAATTAGCTAGATAAGTGATGAAAAATTATGCATTTCATAAAAAGCTGCTACTAACCAGAATATTACTGGAACCATTTGCATGCACAGATCAGAAATACAAAACAACAAGAGAGAAGCCAGAATATGTGTACTTGAATCAATTAAATGCAGCAAGCAAGGCTTATATAGTAAGGGTGGTTGTTGCTGAAAAAGGAAGGGACATACTATCTTCCAAAAAAACGGTCAGATTCCAGACTTTACTTCTAAAGGATGAAAAGGTATGCATTTATTACTTTATATGTGACTATCATACTAAATCTGCTACATTTATGATGCAATTGAAAAACTACACTGTAAAAAGGTTTCACATACTAAAATACTAGAATATTGAGAATAGTAAACCTTCAAAAGATCGCATTGATTAGCTAACATTCACATAAACAAGACTACTATTTTTAGATCATGTTTGAGTGCAGTTTAATTCATATCAGGCAATATGGTAGGCTGTACAATAATTATAGTAACAAATAATAAAAAACAGCTTGACTGATTATATTACTTTACTATTTTTATATCGTGATTTAGCTTTTAATATAATTTTAGTTATGCTGTAATCAATAATCATACTCAGATTAACATTTAGTTACCTGAATTATACTATAAATTACACTATAATGCAATTCCACTTATGTCTAAATGATAAAAATTCAAGTGAAATATTAGCTTTTTAGATTTATCTTACAATAAGAATAAAACCACCTTCTAATAACGCTACTCTACAGAGCTTAATGTTGTTAAAAGTTTTGAATGGCTGCTTATCATTTATAGTCAATTACATCAGTGATAAAGTAATTTTGTCTGAGCAACAATTATATTAAGCAAAGCACATATTGTATGCAATTTAAATCAAAGAGCAGTGACGCCTTATTCTCCCTACCTAACAACAAGGTATATATAGTTAACAATTTTGATGCATAACTATAATATAATGGTTATGGTCATTGAACTTAATTACTGATGTCTGCTTCACAGGGTAATAGAATGCGCGGTACTTTATTTGGCGATCAAATTGAAGCCTTTGATGAGGCATTACAGTATCTCGGAGAGTATGACATTTCTGCTGCGCCAATTAAATTCATTGACGAAAAATGGAGGACTGAACTTGATCAGTTTCCTTACCAAATGACTTTTGGTAGTAGAACTGTAATTCAGCCAGTACATCCAGAGCTTGGACCAATTCTGCCCAACTATCGACCAATAGCAAGTATACCTCGTGCGGTAGATCCTGATGAGAGATACGGTATAATGCACTTACTAAACAATCTCGCACCAAAGTTAGATAATTAAAAGGCTAACAAAGTTGTCTTAATTCACAGATGTCGTAGGTGTAGTGTTATTTGTAGAAGAGGAGCCGAGGAAAGTTGAAGCCAGAGATAGAAAGAGAGAAAGCTAGGTGCGAGAAATAGTCATCACTGATCAAAGGTTCATTTTCAAAGAACTAAATGTTCGGATATGCCAGATATATAATTTGGTACAAATTACAAATTAAGATCACTAAGAATATGCATTTCATGTAACAGCTGCGATCGACCGCTCACCATCTCAATGTGGAATGACCTTACGGCAGGAAAGTACTTCGACAAATTACCTACTTGGGAAGAAGCGTTCAAGGTTATAGGATTTACGGCTCTTAAACCATACACTCGTCGTGGTAAGACAGATATTACTATAACTTACGTAAATGGTTAATTGCGATGAATCAATGATCCCATCTTGGTTATATTAGGTTTTTTGATGAATTCTGCTATGTCCACTCGAATAATATATGAACCTGAGGGAGAACGAGCTCGTGTGGTGTCTGATTGGTAATTTCCTAAACCTAAACTAACAAAAATAATAGCCTTTACAGTGTGCTGATCTGCTCTTTAACTAACATTGTGTCAGGGCTAATCTCTTCCACCAGAGGTTAGTAGATAGACAAGCAAGAGTCTTAGATGTAAGATACCCAAGTGAAAACAAAAAAAATGTTTTTGCTGAACTAAAGCAGAAAAAGGTAAACATTAAGGAATTACTGCCTGTTTTCAGACGTTCATGCTAAACTATAATCAAGTATACAGATTCTAACTGATATTCATAAGTATAATGTACATGTAGCCAAGTAACACCTTGCAAGAAGAAACTTTATGGATTGAAGTGACTATTCAGGATGCTGAATTAGAAAAAGTGAATGCATATACGGGCTGCTCAAACTGCTGCAAGCGCACCAACCTTCCATTGTTGCTCTTCTTGTTTGAACAAAGAATGCATCTGCACTGAGAGGTATAAAACAAGTTTCCTTTTATATCCATTACTATTTATTAATATTCTACATGACAATGCTTACTTTACATTTGTACCAGAATTACGTTCAAATTTGAAGCTAGCGACACCACAGAAACTATGGCATTCACCACTTTCAACGATGATACAGAAAGATTATTCAGGAAAACTGCAGCTGAAATTTATGCCATTAAAGAATCGGTAAATTAATTTACGATATTCTTACCTTCTATTTACTTTCCAGCTTATATGTGCAGTTTAACCTTACAAAGAATGCTAAAAAAACTTTGCATTCAGAAAATTTTCAGCCTATATGTGCAGTTTAACCTTACAAAGAATAGTAAAAAAACTTTGCATTCAGAAAATTAGAGTTATAGGCAACAATATGCTTAGACTTAGGATTAATCAAGTTAAATTTAACACTTGAAATCTTCTCTACATAATTCATTATGTAAGACCAATATCGCAATCTACTTACATGAAATCAGTGCTTATACAGATTACATTTTTATTTTATATGAGTAACGATTCTACACGTGCTCTTTCAGTTAATTCTAATGCTTGCTGTTATAACAAAATCAACGCAGGATGATCACAACGCATTCAAGGCCATTCAAGACTTACTCAGCAGCACACCGTTCTATATTAAAGTTGGACCTACTTGGCACTTGGGTCAGAACAATGTGCTGGAGTGGACACTCAGAGCTATTGAGCTTAAAGAAAATCCTCACACCCATGAAGCTGAGCAACTATCTGCTGGTTACTTCAGCCAAGAAAAAGATGCAAGTGAAAAGGTTCCAGAGAACACTATTGAGTCAGGTAATTCTGAACCGTTCATTCCTACCCCAAACTTGAAGAAAAATTTTGACAAGCATACACAAGAAGAGCCTTACCCTGAAACACTTGACACCCCTCAGCAAAGTATTGAATCACTTAAGCGCAAGAAATCCTTAGGAAAAAGTCCTATGGAATTTGAAAGTGAAGAAAGCGAATCCCAAGTGCCACTATCACAAGTCGGGGCGAAAAAGAAACTTTGCTTTTAAATCCGAAGAAGGACATTGCAGGTCAAAATCCTACAATACCTTTGGCAAAGGATCGTGTTGAAGATGTAGCTGAGCCTCTGGGATCTGAGCACAGGCAAACCACACCAATTATTGTGAAGCTGAAAAGGTTAACAAGCCATCTGTTGAATCTGCCACCAAGGAAAAGTAGTCCCTGAACTACTAAGAAACTATATATGCTGCTAATGAAGTATTGAAGATTATCTACTTAAGGTGCACTACTTGAAAATCTTTTGCATATTAAATCTTTTGCTAGACTTTAAGTATATGGGCAACTATAAGAACTTCGCTTTCGCTGGAACAGTAGATCAGCATATTATGATAAGGACAATAGATAGTTGCCGAAAAATTTTATAAAAGCTCCAGCATCGTGTAGTACTAAACTTCAGTTTATCTCTAGAATTTCATGTATATAGGAATTAGGTGCTGTGGAGAGAAATCTTTTGAGGAGTTTTCCAGGAACAATAGCAATAGTTAATGTTCCTGGAAAACACCATACTAGGACTATATTCTAATGTACTACTAAATTAATGTGCATGTTAAAATATATCTATAAAAAATATACTAGTTTATGTATATTGCTTTTCGTGAAATTTATTACATTGCTTTTCGTGAAATTTATTACTATGATGTTTGTTTAAAGCTGCTTGAATTATGATCAAATAACTAACAAAATATTGAGAACAGTAAGTGTTTCGGGGTTTTCTGATGTCCTGCGGGAGAGTTACAATTCCGAGACTGGAACCGGACGCCTGTACTTGCAAAACAACGGAGACTCCTGGTGGTGGGAGCTCCGCCTCCAACGGTCAAGTTAGTACTTGATTAAGGAGTAATTAATGCGAAAATTAAAGTGATTGGGTCTCTCTAGGTGAGAGTGTTTAATTGCTTGTAATCTGTTTTTTTTAGCGTGATCAGCCTGTTAATCATGTAATCTCCCTTACTGAGGATTAAGGGAGGTATTTATAACCTTGGGAAACGTGCCAATCCTAGGTTTAGGTTAACCTAGGGCTGATTGGGCTTCCCTCGGAAATTGGGCCTAGGTGACCGGTTTTCCCATGTGTTATGGGAAGGACACGTGTCGTGTCGTAATTGGTCCAAGGTGGACGAATCATTGCTTGACACGTGGCAGACTCCTATTGGCCCATGTGACGGACACATGGCGGAACCTGATTGGTCCACTTGTCAGATGGTGACTGGTAGGAGCAAAATCCCCTAATCATTTGCCCCTCACAGGTGGCACGTGACTGGTCACGTGTTACCTGTGACAGGTGTCGCACTGTAACAGGCGACGACCTGCTACAGGTGTCACTCGGCGAAAGGCCGAGAGATTCTCCCGCCCAAATTATGAATTCTGGAAGTGACCCTTCGCCTTCTCACTTTGCCTATATAAAGGAGTATTGACTTCAGTCATTTTCACACTTGAGAACTTTGTGAGAGAACATTCGGACCCCTGAACTTGCTCTGACATTTTGGACCCTTTTTGCCTACCGCCTGCTATGACAAGCCGACTGCAAAGGATTTTCAGAACTTCATCAATCGTCACTCGTTTAGGTAACCGTCGGTTCTCTTACTCTTAATTTTCTCTTTACTTTATTCTTTTTTGAAATGGCACCACGGAAGCACACGACACGACCTAGGTTAGTGATCAGCCGGTCACCGGGGACGGCTGAATCTAAGACTAGGAGTGCCGCCTGCCCTTTTCCGGACCCATCTTTGCCCTTTATACAAAGTCCGACTGTATCTGTGTCTATGCAGAGCATGATGGCCAGGACAAAAAAGACTGCCAGGATCTCAAACTCAGACGGCTCCTCCCACAGGGTGCCGATTAGTGAAACATCTGACCAGGCGCCAGATGTGGAAGTGAAACAAAGCGGCTTGAAAGCCGGCAGTTCTGAGGGAGGAGTCAAGGTGACCCCTTCCCATTTTACAGTTGACAATTCTTCATTCTCTCCTGCTCCTTTTAAAGGAGAGGAGGCGGGCCCCTCCGGGAGAGGGGAGGAGTCGTCCTCTTCGGACTCGTCAGAGGACGATTCCGAGTCTAGCTCTTCTGGCCATGCTTCTCTGGACACAGAAGAGAAAAACAGTCGCCTGCAAGAGGCGAGGCTTTCTCACGCAGTTGAGAAGGGGGACGATTGGGCGGAGCCATCCGCCTCTTACCGAGAGCAAAATACCCCCTACTACTGCACGGTACCTCGGGGCCGGATCACGACCATGCAAGAGAAAGTGGAGAGCTTTATCGCAAACCACATAATGGGCCCCGGCTTTTTAGTGTTTGTGCCGGATCCAGAAGACACAGTCGTCTGGCCGGCTGGTACCAGTTATGATAGCGCCTGCTTTGGCTGCTACGAGGCGGCCATCAAGGCTGGGCTGCGCTTCCCACTACATCCGGCTGTTCAGCGGATCTTGGATGGGTATGAGTTGGGGTTATGGCAGTTAGCCCCGAACTCTTGGGTCAACGTACTCGGCTATGTGGCCGGGTGCGAACTGCACGGGGTGGAGCCGAGTTTCGAGGCTTTCGCCTACATGAACTACCTCAGCCGGACCCCTAAGGCAGGCGGTACCGGCTGGTATCAATTGACGAGCCACAGGGGCTACCTCATGACGAGAGGTATAGCAAACAAATGGAAGGACTGGTGGAGCACCTTCCTCATCATTGAGAGTTCAGACACAAAGCTGAACAAGCGCTTCAACAGGTGGAACAGGAATCTGCCCCTTCTTGCAGGCGGCCGCAGCATGCCGCCTGTTCCCCCCAAGGCTAAGAAAGAGATCCTAGATAAAGGACTCTTCAGAGTAGAGTCGAAGGTGAACTCTACTTCAGGGGTACGAGAGCAAGTACCCCTGCACTGCGTCCCGAGCTTCAAATGGCTCTACGACGAGTACTTTTTGGCCGCCCTTGGTGGGCTTCGAACCTTTCACCCTCTTTTTGGAGTTGTGTTTATGTATATACTGACTCTTTTCTTTTTTAGACGGGCGCTCCAAGAGCTTCTTCTTCCCAACAGCCGGACCCCAAGGCCCGGAGGACGACTGTTGCGAGCTCTCCTGGTTCTGCCAGGAAACATGTGGCGGCTGAGAAACAGCCGACCACTTCTTCTAAAACTCCAGCTGGGCCGCCTAGAAGTATGAAGTTGTCCTTGTAAATTTTAGACTTGCTCCCTTTTTTACTAGGTCTAATCCGTTTGTTTATGCTTGATGCAGCCGGCCCTCAGGAGCCTGACTTGGTCGAGGTGGCCAAGTCTATGATCAAGGTCGTTCCTCCAGCTGAAAGGGAGGCGGTCAGGGGTGTCGGCACCCTTGACCTAGACGGGATTGCAGGGGTCCTTGCTGAGGTATACTTAGCATATTTTTGAGTATTTGAATTCCAGGACGCCTGTTTTCTTTTTTGTTTGGAAACTGACGCATGTTCCCCTTTTTACTTAGGCCCTGCTCCGAGTGAACGGCCTTCGCAAGCCGCTTGACCGGAAGAACAAAGAGGTAAAGGCTGCAAAAGCTATGGCCGCCTCTGACTGTGATAAGGCAATGTTTCAAATTGCCCAAAATGAAGTTCTGACCATTGATATTCTTTATTATCAGGCGCAGGCTACCGCCGCTATCCGGGCTCAGTTAGAGGCGGCCCAGAAGAGGAATAGCGAGCTGGAGGCGACCATCAACAGCCTCAAGGCCGAGCTGAGACCTATTCGCCAAAAGATGTCCTCATACGAAACCTTGGAGAAATCCTTGGCGAGCGTAAAGGTACGCCTGGTGACCCAGGAGAAGAGTCTTACTCAGGAGCTCTCGGAAAAGGCCGAGCAAGAAAAGAAAGAGCTGGTCCGGGAGATGATGGAAGACTCTGCTCAAATCCAGCGCATGACTTGGGGCCGCCTCTTCCCTAATGCCGACTTTGCCTCATGGGAAAAAACGTACCGCTAGTGTTCTGATAGATATAATCAAGAGATCCTGGCGGCTGCTGAGGAAGAGGCGTTGGAGGACGCGTTGGAGGAGGAGGAGGAGCCGGTAGTGGCGCTTGTGCCGCTTGGGGGTAATGCATCAAAGAAGGATGCAGCTGAAGCCGAGTCCAGCAAGAAGAGTGCTGACCAGGCGGCAGCTGCTGATATTGTAGATCTGCCCCCTACTTAAGCTTTATGTCTTCTTTCCACGGCCTGCGTGCCGTTTGTTTTGTATTTACCCGGCAGGGGGCCGGGGCTCTGAATATTTTTCCGGTCTTTAATGACTGGCTTCTTTTTAATGTATTTTTGTTTTGCTTCAAATTTGTCCAAGTATTGAATATTCTTATATCCAATTGTACACTATACCGACTGTTTTACATGGCCGATAGTTGCAGACAGGTAAGGATAGTTAGTCACGCCGCCTATGCCCCTGGACGACTGGTGGTCTGTTTCCAGGCTAGATGATCAGTCGGCCATTTATCCAATCGGCTTTTGAACCATTTTAAAGACTGGATCCCCTTTAGGCAGGCGGTCCTGTTATTGTAAAATTAACCAAGTAGGAAAGTGGTTTGACCAAGTAAACATGATTGTTACCTAGTCGCCAAGTAACTGAGTAGTAGAGGTATCAAGCGGTTGGAACCGGTTCCCCTTTATTCGCCAATGTTTGTTGGCTTTTAACTCATAGGTTGTTAACCTAGCAGGAGTAGTGGTTGAGAGCCCCTGTTTGCTAAAAACAGGCGGACGACTCATACCTTTTAGGCTCCATACTAAGTTTGAGAGAGTGACTATGAGTTAACTTTGGTGTTACTCAGTCGCTGTCACTCCTGCTTGAGTAGTAAAGGTACCAGGCGGCGGAGGCCGGCTAATCTTTTTGATTCGCCAATGTTTGTTGGCTATTAACTCAAGAGGTACCCCCTGCATTTATCCCAAGTAATACAGGCGGTCATCTGACTCAGATGTCAACTGCTACCACTGATTTGGTTAGTGATAGAGTTATCCTTGTCTCAAAAACGGCTACGTGGTTGCCCTTGGGGACAGTCGTATAGGTGTCGTGTAATTAGTTTATAGAGCAATGTTCCACCCAAAAGGGAGCTGCTCTCTGCGACGAATTTCATCCGGAGGGATGCCGCCGGACGCCTGCTATGATGTTGGGACAGGTCGTATTATTTTTGAAGATTTGATCAGTTGGCTTGGCGCCTGGTCTGATCATTCGACCTGTGGCCTTGGTTAGTTCTTGGTGAACGTAGGTGCTAAGTAAAAGGAGGGTAGCCGCCTGTTAGGCACAGGGTCGACCAGATCATTTTAGTTAAGTATAAGGGGGGTGGCCGTGTGTTTGGAACCAGTCGGCCCTCTTTTATGGAGAGTAGCCGACTATATGTCCAGACGGCATGCCCCTATGGTGAGTAAAATACTCAATGGAGAGTAGCCGACTGTAAAGGTACAGACGGCACGCCCCTCTGAAAGAGTAAAATACTCAATGGAGAGTAGCCGACTGTAAAGGTACAGACGACATGCCCCTCTGAAGGTAAGTAAAATACTCAATGGAGAGTAGCCGACTGTAAAGGTACAGACGGCATGCCCCTCTGAAGATAGAGTAAAATACTCAATGGAGAGTAGCCGACTGTAAAGGTACAGACGACATGCCCTTCTGAA